ATTTGTATTCGTTCATTGATGAATGATTGAAACCATTGAATGAAAATCTAGTTTATTTATGCCTTAAGCGCAATGATTAGTTCGTGAGTTTTCACTATTCACTCTATCACACACACACACTCTCTATCGCTCTCTCTGAAATTACGTAATGATGGATACATTTGTTCAAACGTCTTTCCCCCTGGTTTTCATTTATTTATTGTTTGTCATTGAAGCATAAATGAAAATTGGTCATTAGATTTTTTAACAAAATACAATGAATAGAATGGAATGGAATGGTGTTTGTTTTTCTTTGTGATGGTTAAACTAATTGAAATAAAGAAAATAAAGGAAAGTTTTTTTTTCTTAAAGGAAAAACTACATTATTACATTACTGGGGGGGGCTTGTGAAGATTGTTAAGTGACACATTTGAAATGATGAATCGATCAAAGTTAGATCACCATTAGAAGAAACATGGAAGGACTGTTTCGTGATCCTTGTATGGGACTCATCAGCAGTGCGCATTCATGACGGCTTCACCTCGCAGGATTCGAACTCACGACCTTCGGTCTTGTGCGCGAACGCCGATCCCCTGGACCACGGAGTTGCACAACTTCATACACTGTCTTCGGTAGTTACTCTGTCCATACCCGAACAGGTTGAACTTCACTGGTCACGACTTCCCAGTAGAACTTGGAGGAGATTCCTCATGGAGCTAGTCACTAGTGAACACAGTTTATGCTATTATGGGGTTGTAAAGATTCTTAAGTTACATAATGAATCTGTCAATATTAGACCACTATTAGTAACCTGGGAGCACTAGATGGCCATTTCGTTATAGTATAGGATTCATCCCCCAATCGATCATAGGGAGTCAAATGTCGGATCTTGCATCTCGCATATGAACACTAAATCGGTTGGTCATTGAGCTGATCGGAATCCAGTAGTGTTCATGTTTAACTTGAATTTGTCTATGATAATGTGCGATCATTATTCATTGTCTTCGGTAGGTAACTAACTACCTCACATGAAACATAGTTTTAGCTTTACTGATCATATCTTCACATTAGAACTTCGAAAATTTCTTCTTGAAGCGAACTCAATGGTCTAGAGTTTAGGTGTTTTCACGTCAAATTTAAAAGTCCCGCAATCATTATTCATTGTCCTTGATGAGTAACTACCTCACAACCACCAACATAGGCTCAATACGGTAGGTCTTGGATTTAATTCCTATTCGCAAAGCTATGGATGAGCCTTTCTTCCTCTGATGAGTCCTCCTATACGAGGATGAAATAGGTACTTAGTAAACTCAAGTTATTAATAGTAGTCTAACATTGATTGATTCATGTTTTCAATAGACTTTTAAATGAGTATTAAAAACACATAAATGATGCCTTATATCTATCTATGATGACATTATCAATTCATATGAGATGGGACAGTGATATATTGTAGGAAGATACATACTTCTGTTTGTTAAGACAGGTTATTGACTGTCTTCTTTAACATATTTCCTCTGATCTTCAAAACACTTTGATTGTTCTATGCATTGAATTTAGTCTAAGACTTTTCTCTCTCTCTCTCCGACAGTGACAGATGCATACTACTTACGAACTACATTGTCAGTAGTATTCATCACTACATAAAGAGTAGGATGTGGAAAACAACTACTTACTACATGTTGTTAACTTGATTACATTAGGATCTTCATATCATAAAGTCATCAGCTGTAAAAATTTTAACCGTCAATGATGGGAGAAATGTTATTTTTCTAGTTATTTAAATAATCTAACTCCTAATCGTAATTTGATTCATTCATTTTAGAGTGATTTACTTGAAATTAATCTATGGATGTATGTATACATTGTAATGATTGGTTTAGAATGTAAATTATGTTTCATTGTATAATGCTCCACCAGGGTGGCATGTGGCTGCCTGTATGGTTACACCTCAGGATTAAGCTGTACTATTCCCGTAGTAGTGTTAACCCATGGGCAGTGTCTGTTTCTTCTGAAAACCAACGTAAGATTACTCTTAATTAATTCAAGTATCATTCTGAACGAATCATTTCAAATATCAATGTTTACATATTTGATAGTGTTCATTTTGTCTGGTTGGTGTTTTTGTGTTTTTTTACAAGTGTTTCACACTCTTATTAGGTAGTTATTGATTAGTTGATGTTATTCCTAATTGAGCATAAGCCAACCACCAGTATCCTCTAACCTACTCTGTCTTAGGTCTTTCTTTCCTGTTCTACTCTATTGCTATGCATTATTTTTATGTCCGTCTGCGAAATTCGACGAAGATTCCAGGTTAGGGATGGCTTTCTGGTTCTGTTTGACAAGTTCCACACTGTGTCCTCATCTGTCGCCAGTGTCTTGTTTGAATTTCTTTCACAGTTGGAATCTGTGATTTATTCTGTTCCATAGTAGGTTTAACTGGTGATGTAACAATTAATAATAACGATTACTTTGTAAAGTATCTACACATAAATATAATTAAAACTTTTTTATACTACTATTATTAATTAGTAGTATCAAAATGATTAAATCTAATAGATAGTAACCTACAAAACGTACGGTTTCCTATTGGTTAACCCTTATCACTAAGTCAGACTAGCAATCCTTATAGAACTGATAATACTCTTTGTGATATTTTTCCCGCAAATTTGATATTTCTCATTAACTACTGTTAATCACTGAACAGCTGAACATGATTCATTTCGGCGTTAAGTTACAGAAATCAGCCATCAGCTTGATCGATAGAATTTTATTGGCGGACAATGTCAGTAAGTAGTATTTGTGTTAGTAGTAGTAGTAGTAGTGTAGTGTACGCTACTTATGTTCACATAAGTAGTATATAATATCAAATGGAAATCAAACGTCTGACAGCATACAAGATCGAGAAGGATTTAATGAGAACAGAAGGCGATTTGTAGGTAACATAAAATGAACTGAAGTCTGAACAGTCTAAATGTGAAAGAACACTGAAATTTCCGAAACAAATAAGGATTCGTTTGCAAATGATGATTTCACGGGAAGGTTTTGTAAATATGCCTAACAACTCTGTAATATTCCCTTATTGTCCTCTCCTGAGTACTCGAGCACAACAGTAGAATTTAATGTTGACAATCAAATATAACAGTGAACTTGTACTTCAATCATCGTTAGATCACCATTAGAAAACCTGGAAGTATTGGGTGGCTGTTTCGTCCTGGCACGGGACTCATCAGCAATGCGTGTGGATGGGTGAAGTTGCGCAAATTCCTTAGATTGATCAAAGTTAGACATAAACACCGTTGGGTGTCGGCTGATTGCATGCAAGACTGAAGTTGCTGGCTACGAATCCTGTGAGTAGCAGGAGTCTTGGATACTCATTGCCACTGATGAGTCGCATACAAGGACGAAACCACTGCCTAATGCTTCCCTATTTCTAATAGTACTCTATACCAATTAACTAAATCACCATTTCAATGTAAGACATAATGATTCTCATAATTCTATAATGTGACAAAATACTCAAAAGTTTTTTTTTTACTCAAAACTGTTTTAAATTTTAAAATTTAAATAAAAATTTTCAATTATTATTTTTAAAAAAAAAAACACATAATTCATAGTTCGATTTTTTCTTCTTTTATTTCAAATCAAATAAATCAAATTACATTCTCTTCTAACTCATAGTCTACACAATACTCAGTTTTTCTATTATTTCTCTCAATATGTTGTATTTCCTGTGTACAGTACTATGATTATTATTACCATTATTATTCCTCTCTCTCTCTCTGTGACTAGTCCAATACAATTAATAGGCATAAATGAAGAATGATGGTAGTTTCTGCATTCCCCTATTATCTATCATTGATTACTACTACTACTGCTACTACTACTACAGGGCCGCTATGCTCAGTGTTCAATGTCACTTTTATAGATTGTTTGTGTGTGTGTGTGTTGTTTTTTTTCCACTCGTATTGTCGTTTGTCATTTCTCTTTTCATCTTTTTTTCTGCTGCTGTTATTTTCCTGCTCACTGTGTCGTCTCCTCCTCCTCCTCCTCCTCGCCCTTCTCGTCCTCCATCGTTTATTTTGACAGCATTAGTCTGCATACATGTGTGTATGTGTGTATGTGTGTATGGGTGTGTTTGTAGATGCATAGACATACACTGTAGACATATATATGTGTTTTAGGGTAATATTTCCGTTCTGTTTTATAGAAAGAAGCATATACATGCATAATTATGCGTGTGTGTGTGTGTGTGTGCGTACGTAAGTGCACATGCGTTACATACCTGCCTACACACAAACACACACACACATAAACACGCATTTATACAATACAGAGTATCCCAAAATGATTTTTGACATGATCAGGAAATGATTCTATTGTTTTTTTTTGGAATTCGCTTTTCCTAAAGAGTTATTATTATTATTATTATTATTATTATTATTTTTATAGAAAATTCTAATAATTTTTGACAATTGTCTTTTCAGTAGAAATGATAGTTCTGTTTAATTCAGCATAAAACTGGAATCTATCTATGCCTATATATGCATATATATATATATATATATATATATATATATATATATCCTATTCTAATCTTGCATGCTTGTCCGCGCTTGTGCGCGTGCGCGTGCGCATGTGTGTACGTGTATGTAGGCACACACACACAGACACAGAGACGGAATGGGACATTTGATAGGATGACGGTATGGACAGTCAGCGATAATTCTCTTTTCATAGATTTCTCTCTGTTTTTTCCCCCGAAAAAAAATGATTATCTTTTCATGCATGCATATGTAGATTTATGCATGTCCATTGACGACTACTGTATGTGTCCACTTAGTCGGACATGCTATGATTATCATTTGCTTTGATCTTTGATTTTTGTTAGTTTAGGCTACTTAAATATATTCAGAATAATAATGACAATAATAATAATAATAATAAAACAATCTGTATAGAGTTGCTTTCTGACTTCCGTTTATTTATTTGTGTTTTTTTTATTTCTGACAAATACATAGAACTCGTCTCCTTTACTTGGTGGAAGTGTTGGAAGTCGGCGGTCACCGGATGTCGACGACAGAGCCAGTCCTAATGGCGGTGGAAATACATGTCATCGGAATGGAGCGTCCGGATGTGGAAATTCTAACAATCGTGGTGGTGGGGGTTGTGATGGAGGAGGTGGTGGAGGTGGTGGTGGAGACGGCGGTGGTGGTGGTGGTGGTGATCGTGGTCGATCTATGGATAATTCTGGTGGGGGTGGACGTACTGCGTCTGGGACAACAATTTCCAATATTGTTGAACATAATTTAAACAGTCGTCATACTCATACTAATCATCATCATCACCATCATCATGCGCATTCACAATCACTCAATCATATGTCACAAAATCTGTCTCAATCCAATACACCAATGTCTCGTAGTCATGGGAATGCCAGTCAAGATATGAATAGTGAAGCGGGTAGGTTGTTAATTTGAAAATATTTATCTATTTGTTTGTAATATGGTGGTTTCAATAAATTGATAAATATTTTTTTTTAATTGTAAAAATAGTAATTTAATTTTGTTGCTCAGTTGTAATTGGGTATTTTAGTTAATTTCAATGAAATATTCATCTTTTTATTGTACACTAGTGAAAATGATTGAGTTTTATTTGAGATGATGAATTGATATCCATGTTAGACCACTATTAGAAATCTGGAAGTACTAGATGGCCATTTCATCCAAGACCGTGGATTGATCGAAGTTGGACACTAACATTGTTAGATGCCAACTGACTTGGTTGCCTACAGGTTAGGGGCATTCACGCGAAACAGCTCAGGTCATGGATTCTATTCCCCCCGCATTCGTTGTTGTGAATGAGAACTGAAACGAGCATTCACTACTTCCAACCTTCTGATCGTAATCTAACACTGATCAATTCATGATTTGAATGAAACACAACAGTCTCTACCACCCTACTATGTCAACTTCATACCTTATAGGCTGTCTTTGTCCAACGACGAAAATGAAATGCGACATTCTTAAGATTAATCTATGCTAAATCAATATCTTTCGTTTTAAATTGTTAAACTAGAGTTGAAATTCATTACCGAAATAAATCAGTCCTTGTCAAACTACCAGTAGAAACCGAGAAGCATTGGATGGCTGTTTTTTTCCAAATATGGGACTAATCAGCATTGTGCATCCACGTCTTCTGCTCGTGGAAATCGAACTCAACACCTTTGATCTCATGCGCGAACGCCTAACCTCTAGACCACTGATTCAGCTGGCATCCAATGGTGTTATTGTCCAACCAGTGGAGTACAGCCCTATTGAGTGTAGGCAGTTATCCACCGGAGACAATGGATAAGGTTGCTCAAAACCTAAGATCGACGAATGTTAGACATTAACACCGTTGAAGGTCATTTCAGTGGTTCAGAGATTAGGAGTTCATGAGCGAGACTGAATGCCCTAGGTTGGATTCCCACCAGCGGCTATAATGAATGAGTATTGCTGAAGAGTACTTTTTATGATTAAAACTCATTATTCTCATGATTTTTTTCATTCTTTTTATCTTGAATATCAACAAACAAACGAACAAACACACATATCACAGGTGATGGAATTGACAATTCCATTGGATCAGGTGAAAATTTCGATGAATTTGATTTAGAAGAAAAATCAATAAAACGTCAGAAAAAACGTGGGATCTTTCCTAAAGCTGCTACAAATATTATGAGAGCATGGCTATTTCAACATTTATCAGTAAGTGTTTGTGCGTGTGTGTGTGTGTGTGTGTGTGGGTGTTTGTGTTTATTAATGTATGGTTATGTGAATACGTGTATCTGTTAACGTTGTTCTAAGATGTGAGTTGATAGTTGTATCCGAAGCATTGCCCGTATATCTTGGGACGATCGAGTAAGCAATCCTATCGTTAGGAAACGAGTGCTAGGTAAGGATGGCAAATCAATAGATGAAGTATTGAAACTTCATCAGTTGAGGTGGTTGGGATATGTGTTACGTATGCCTAACCACCGACTGCCTCGACGAACGATGCGTTGTGGTGTAGGAGGAGGCTGGAAGAAAGCTAGGGGCGGCCAGACCAAAACATGGCACAAATCCATGAAGTCACTGACAAGTGAACTGAGTCATGTTGGTAGATGTAGGCTATCTGGTTGGGGTTCGCGAGACGAAAGTCATCGATGGTTAGAGACCTTGAATGACATGGCTCAAAATCGTTTGCAATGGCGCAGGTGCATCCATTCTTTGTGTTCTCTCAAATCCTAATCTTCTGGATTAGCCAGCACCTCTACCTTTGTCTTTCTAACCTTATCTCACTGAATTATACTTCTCGAATCATATCTTCGCTCCCTAATCTTCTCCATTACTGATTATACTTCTATTATTGCTGTCACTCTTGGATTTGAACTGACAGTTACGTCCCTTTGCTGTCGTGGTATGGCAACCTGAACTTATGTACTTATGTACGAGGTTTTGTGTTGTATCTATCTGCCTATCTACCAATGTTTTGGGTGAGTAACTGACTCATACCTGACATAGTTGAACTTCACAGATTATGACTGCAAGGATTCTCCACACGAAGCTAGTCACTAATGGTCACGCTATATCATGGATTGGTTGAAGTTAGACATTAACACCGTCGAATACCGACTAAGTGGTCAGGAGTGCGTGAGATCGAAGTTGTTGGGTTCGAATATCCACTTGAGTGGTCATGGATACTCAATGCCACTGACGAATCCTATACCAAGACGAAACGGCCTTAATAAATATTGTTTAGTTGTACTTTTTCTAGTTTGAATCAATCTCAACAAAGCGGCGTGATCATTTACAATGTCGATATTGATTTCAAATTTTTGTGTATCTTTAACGTTGGAAACAAAAAACATCGTCTTAACCAACAATTGTTTATTTAAGTAAAATAAGGAAACGAGAAATATGTGGATAAACTATACTATCAAATTTCCACTTAGAAACTATTGAAAAACACCAGTGAATTGTAAATAGTTACCTGATTTTAGTTGGAGGGGGGCCTTGTTAACTAGATCGTATTGAAACCTGATTGTTCTCATTACACCATATCAGAACAATGTGATACATTGTGTTAGGCAGTTAAGTGAAAATCATTTAGTTTGTACAGATTTCAGTCTTTGTTTATCACCCAATTTAATCTTTATTCATAAGTAAAGATCTGTTATGCTGTCTTAGTGTGAAATTTGTGATCCTTTTGGAAACAAATACTATTGCATTGCGGCGTTGTGAAGATTGTTAAGTTACTGATTGAAATCATGAATAGATCAATGTTAGATCACCATTAGAAACCTGGAAGCACTGGATGGCCGTTTCGTCATGGGATGGGACTCATCAACAGTGTGCATCCAAGATTCCTGCGCTTCTCACTACTGATGAGTCCCATACCAGGACGAAACCGCCGTCCAATGCTTTCAGGTTTCTAATGGTGGTCTAACATTGATCGATTCATATTTTCAATAAGTTACAAAAATTATTATCAATTTAATCATTACTACTTATAACTAATTATCAGTAGACTATAATTGTCTAAATCTACACTGATATTTCAATGAATTATCGTAAAATTTAAAAATTAGACATTATTTTGAGTAGTATCATGAATGTAAGAATTATTCGATGTCCATTTAATGATTTTTCGCTTGTCTGTTTGTGAACTCTTCACGAGTTTACATCCCAGCAAACGAAATCAACTATGATTTTTTATTATTGTGTTTGATTGAATTAATGAATCGAGTCATTGTTAGACCATTGTTAGAAACCTGGAACCACTGGATGGGTGTTTCGTCCTAATATAGGACTCATCAATGTCAGTGCGTATCCAAAACTCCCACTAGCGGGAATCAAACCAATGGCATTCGGTCTGATGCGTAAACCTTTAACCTCTTGATCAGTCAGCTGGCAGGTATCCAACAGTGTTGCTGTCTAACTCTAATTAATCTAAGGTATTTTGCACCCTCACTTTTGCCTACACCCAACACAGATGAACTGCAATGGTCATAGCTTCTCACCAGGTCGGTTCATACTGTCAATGAAATCAATTATATTGAAACTGTGACAATAACAGAGAGAGTCATTACTGATAATGATATCGAATACTCGTTGTGTTATTTGATTAGAATGGAATTACTCAACTGCAGTTCAATGAAATAAAAATGTTGTGTTGATTGTTGGGCAGAGACTATGTAAGATCATTGGTGATTGGTTAGAGATAGATGAGGAATTTTTTTAAACTACTATATTAAGCATTGCGGGGTTGTTGTGAAGATTGTTAAGTTTTATTTGTAACCATGAATCGATCAATGTTAGGCCACCATTAGAAACCAGGAAGCACTGGACGGCCGTTTGGTCCTGGTATGGAACTCATCAGCATTCATGGTTACAAATAAAAAACTTAACAATCTTCACAACAACCCCGCAATGCAATTACATGTGGTCACTAGTGACTAGCTTCGTGAGGAATCTTCTCCGAGTTCTAGTGGGAAGTCGTGACCAGTGAAGTTCAAACCTGTTCGGATGTATACAGTGTATGAGGTTGCGCAACTCCGTGAATTTGATCAAGTTAGATATTAACAGTGCTAGATAGCGGCTCAGTAGTCTAACGGTTGGGGCGTTCGCGCACTATACCGAAGGTCTTGGGTTCGAATCCTGCGGGGAGCAAGAGTCGTGGATGCGCACTGCTGACGAGTCCCATAGCAGGACGAAACGGCCGTCCAGTGCTTCCAGGTTTCTAATGGTGGTCTAACATTGATCGATTCATGGTTACAAATAATACTATATTAAGCAACCCTTTTGTTTTCTAATGATTTTACATAAACAGAATCTATGAACTAATAAACTAAAAGGATTACAGCGGATGTTTTGAAAAATCAACTTTTTTACTAATCGTTATTAGTATAATAAAAATTTTTCTTTTCTTTTAAAAAAATACTAGCATCCTTATCCATCGGAAGAACAAAAAAAACAATTGGCTACAGATACTGGTTTAACAATTTTACAAGTAAATAATTGGTAAGTATGTGTACATGACACCGTAAATATAATTTCCAAGTACAAATGTTTATTTGAACTCAGCAGATATATGAATAACAAGGTAGCCTTTTGAAACTATTAAGTACTGGTGTAGAAACCCGGAATGGGTATATCCAACAGACAAGTCTTCAATAGGACGAGCAGCACTATCTAGGAAATCACTGCTAGTTGTATTCTCTGTATTTTTATGTAAATCATCGTATCTAACGGTAAAGTGTCTATTTGAACTCAGTAACTAAGTAGAGATAACAACGTAGCCTTTTGAAGCAGTTAAGTACTGGTTTCGACTCCCGGAATGAGCATATCCAACTGAAGAGTCTTATATACAACGAACAACACTATTTGGAAAACCATTTCTAGTTATATTCTCTTTATTCTATGTATCTAACGTTAAAATGTCTATCTGAACTTAATAGCTTAGTAGAGATAACAAGGTAGCCATTTGAAACAGTTAAGTAATGGTTTCCACCCTCCCGGTTGGAATATCAACTCTGTACTGATGGTATATCCAACTGACAAGTCTTAAGTTGCACGCACTACACTATCTAAGATTTGATCGCTAGTTCATGTAGAGAACCATTGTTCGTTGTGGTGGTGTTTCGTTCTCTGAGTTGAATATTTTGATTTGTGCTGATGATGTTGTTCATTAGAAGAACACTGAAAGCTTCACAACCAAAATATCCAGCCAGCTCACAGAGAACCAAACACCATCACAATCATTCATTTGAGCTACAAATTATCTCTTTATCATCTCAACCATTGTTAGTTTCCAAGTAAGATATTCATTGTACAAGTATAAATGTCTATTTGAACTCAGTAACTAAGTAGAGATAACAAGGTAGCCTTATGAAGCAGTTAAATACTGGTTTCGACTCACGGAATGAGCATATCCAACTGACAAGTCTTAAATAGAACAAAATACACTACCTAGGATTCCGCTGATAGTCAGTCATATTCTCTCTATTCTATATATCTAACGTTAAAATATCTATTTGAACTGAATAGCTAAGTAGAGATAACAAGATAGCCTATTGAAGCAATTAAGTACTAGTTTTGAATCTCAGTATAGAATATCAACTCTTAGTTGACCGTATATTCAACTGACAAGTCTTAAATCGAATGAACAACATTATTTAAGATCTCAATGCTAGTTATATTCTCTTTATTCTATGTAAATCATTGTATCTAACAGTAAAATATCTATTTGAACTCAATAGCTAAGTAGAAATAACAAGGTAGACTTTTGAAGCAGTTCAGTACTAGTATAATGAACGAGAACACAGTTGGGGCAACCGAATTGTATTTAACAAAAATAACAGAGTTATTCAGTAAAATTGGAAAACCATATCGTCAATCGTTAATTTGCAAAATATCAGTTCATCATATCGAACTGGACTGTTCCTGTTGCAAAACATCAACAATCCATTGTCACTCACTGTTCATGCATTTCATACAAATTCCATTGTGTTCTTCTAACCCTTCCCTTTCTTGATCTTCCCCCATCTTCTGCTGCCAGCCATTACGTTGACGCTCGCGTCATATACTACTTATAAGTAGCACACACCACACTAGTTTCGAATCTCAGTATAGAATCTCAACTCTGAACTGACGGTACATCCAATTGAAGAGCCTTAAATTGGATTCCATCGCTAGTCATATTCTCTCTCTGTTCTATGTAAATTTTTTGTATCTAACGTTAAAATCCCCGCTTTTATTTACATTTGTCTAAGAATGTTTTTTTTATCTCTGCTATATTCCATGGCATAGTAATAAACAGTCATTTCCGCGAGTAAATAGCCTGAATTATCTATATAGATTCAACACAATAATGATATATATTATTTTATCCCCGTAGGCATAAAACGATACACATAAATAAATATATATCAGTAGTATTTACAATAATAATAATAATATTAATAGTGATAATAACATGCCTATCAATGCCTGTTATCCTCCTACCAACCACCCCCACCCTCGCCTTTACACTGACCAAAAGATTAAAATATTTTGAATTATTTTTTAAAGAAACAAAAATCAAATGAATGCTCAATCGATATGTGTGTTTATTTCCTTCCGCTTACGCGCTCCACCCTCCCCCCCATCCATCCATCCAACCACCCCACCCACTACCCTCTATTTCATTGATTTATTTGTTTATCTGTTCATCTTGAGGGCATAACAACAACAGCAACAATAAGAAGAATTATTCGACTGTTTATTCTCAAGTGACTAATGCTAACGACAACATGTTCTCCTCCTTTTTTTAAAAAAAATATTTCTTGACTTTGAGAAGATTAATTTTTGTTTTGAGAGAGAGAGAGAGAGAATAATTTATTTTCGAGAAAAAAAAACACAACTGATTTCATCAAAATATGAATCATAAAAATATTTCAAATGAGAGGCGATTTGAATTCCTTTTAAAAATTTTTCAATGAAAAATGATTCAATGAGGCAATTATTGATTGGTACAAATTGAAATCATTAACCCATCATTATTGTTAGCCTACTCCATTGGAAACCCACAAGCACTGGACGGATGTTTCGTCCTAGTATGAGACGCATCAGTGACAGCGTGGATCCACGACTCCTGCACCCCGCAGGACTCCAACCCAGGACCTTCAGATGTCTGAGCTCTAGATCAACGAGCTGACTGGCATCCGACGGTGTTATAATGCTTAACTTCAGCCAAAATCTGCTAGTGATCGGACCCAGAACAGTTTAGCTCTTAGTGATTAAAATCATTTGGTTATTTATAAATTACTAGGCAGAAATCGTAACTAAGAGTGCTCCAACATGTTCTTTGTGTGGGCTACCATCATCAGTCATATTGGGAAATAGTTGTATAATATAAATATTATTGACTGATTCATATTAGAAATATAAACTATTTTGATGCCAAGTTAACTAATCTCTTCTTACTTGCACATGTTACACTTGAATGGAGTATAGGCCGCGGATCAGCATTCTCTAATCTACTCTTTCCAGTGGCTTCCTTTCTAATTCTGTCCATTATCTGAGAGTCTTAAATAATTTTAGGTTTTGTCTCTGATTGATAAACTACCATTTTAATGGCGAGTTCCCAGTGAAAGTTTTTGCCATTCATTATTTCATAAAATGCCTTAATACTGCATAGATTAAAAGTAGATTGTAAAACGCTACAAATTAATAAATTAATTGAACATTGATCATTTTTAGTTTGTTTTAATGCGTTCAATAGTCAAGATTATTAAATACGTAGTTATGTGTAATCTGTTTTTAACTGTTTGATTAAAACGAATTTTTGTTCATTTTTTTCACTTTTTTGCACAAAAAATCTAGGTTCATTAATGCTCGACGACGTATTGTTCAACCAATGATTGATCAATCAAATCGAGCAGGTGAGTATTATATAACTAACTATTCTAGGTTATATATTGTTTGAAATTGATAAGGAGTTGCTTATCTAATTATGATATATAATATATATGTGAATGAAAGCTAGGAGCGACTAAAACCCAAATATGGTACAAATCCATGAAGTCATTGACGACTGGATTGAGCCATGTTAGTGTAGGTGTAGACTAAGTGGTTGGAGTCTGTGAGAGATAGTCGTAACCGATGGTCATAGAATTTGAATGATGTGGTGCAAAATCGTTTGCAGTGGCGCTCTCAAATTCTAATCCTTCTGAATTCCTTATAAATTTATTTCACTAGTTTATACCTCTCGAATCGTATATTCGATCACTGATCTTCTCTATTACTCAATACTTCTAGTACCTATACTATAATCGGAGTTGAATTGACAATTCGATCTCTGTGTGGTAATGTGGTATTGCAAATTGAACTGATATACATACGTACTAAGTTTTACGTTGTTGTTAAACCCCCACTGAAAGTCTGAAAGCACCAAACAGCTGTTTGATCCTAGAATAGGGCTCATCTATAGCAGTGTCCATCCACAACACCCGGCATAGATAGATGAATGAAAGGCTTTCGGTCTTGTACAGGAACGCTCTACTTCTTGATCACTGAACCGATCGAAATCTAGCTAGGTTATTGTCTAACTTTAATCAGCCAATGATATTGTGCGATCATCATCTATTGTCTTCGGTGGTTGACTGCCTCGCACACAACACGATTAAAGATACGCTCGCGAGATCTATTATCCTGGGTTCGATTCCCACCTGTGAGGACATGCACTTCCAATGATGAGCCCTGTTCGAGGACTATTGATTAAACATTTAATGAATGTTTGAGTAGAGTATTCTTTTGTTAGTGATCAGTTTAACTCGTAGATTGTTATTTCGTTGGGGGAGTCCTATTGAAAACTATGGACTACGTATATAATAAATGATTTTATTAATTATACATCAATCACGCTGTCAGTGATTCAATTCATTAATCTACAAATCATGTGACTTACTTACTTACTTACTTACACCTGTTACCCCTAACAGAGTATCTGTAGTGAAGGAGAACACAGGTGAGGGCAACCGAATTGTATTTATCGCAAATTACAGAATTACTCAATAAAATAGGAAAACCATATCGTACACAGTGAATTTGCAAATCTTCAATCCAATGTCTGACATTTCACTCACTATTCATGCATTTCATACAAATTCCATTGTATTGCCACTCTTCCTTTCTTGCTTGATCTTCCCCCATCTTCTGCTGCCAGACATTACGTTTACACTCACATCATGTACTACTTATAAGTAGCGCGCACCACATATCTTTTCTGGTTAGCGTTTTTTTTTCTACCAAGTTTGACTTCTACAAACATGGCTTCACTAACCCCATACCAAATCCTCCTCCTTTATCCAAGCTTTGGGACCGTCGTAGCAGTAACCTCAGAACGACTTCAGGCAGACAGAGTCTTTTGTGTCTCTAGTACATTGAATAAAATAACACTAGTTCATATTTATAAATTATTTCACATGTTTTCTTAATTCTTCCTGTGTGTTTGTCTAATTTTCATCAACAAAAAAACACATGCAAACATAAACGAACAAGTCAGCCAGCCAACCAACGAGAGAGAGAGATATAGAGAATATTAGTAGAACTAGTTATAGGTCACACAAATTAAATTAAAAACACACAATTATTTTATTTATATGCATAATCTATGAGTTTTACATATTACACCTCAATGTCATGATTATTGTTATTTATTCAATTTACTTCCTAAACTGACTGACTTTAAAGATAACTAGAAACTTGTAATTTGATCATGAATTAAGTGGTTTTTTTTTGTAGTTGCTTGGTCATTTTCATGTTATTTGTATGTAATAAATGTCTAGTTCAACTGGTGTTTGTTGCATTCATCGACTGTGTGTGTGTGTGTGTGAGTGTATAGGAGGGGGACTAGAGTGATGTGTAAGAGAAAGTAGTTCCACTCTGTCGCCGCCCCACCCCCCACCGATACATATCATATATATGCCATATTTATTCTTTTCAAATTAATAGGACCACATGGTTATCCTCCCGATGCAGCAGGATGTTTACCTTATATGGATAACCAACATTTTGCTGCTTATGGACGACCAGGTAAGTAGAGTATTTGTATGCATGTATATATATGATTATATATTTATGGGTGAGGTCACGCAAAAATCCCTTGATCACTCAGAGTTAGACGTTAACACCGTTGGATGGCGGTCCAGTGGTCCGACGGTTAGGCAATCGCGCACAAGAGACTGAAGGTCGCGGGTTCGAGTCCTGCGAGGTGCAAGAGTCGTGGATGCGTACTGCCACTGATGAGTAGTAGTCCCATAGCAGGACAGGGAAACGCCCGTCTTTCAGTGCTTCCAGGTTTTTAATAGTGGTCTAACAATGATTGATTGATTGATTGATGATTTCAAATGTGTAAAACCACAAAACCTACAAAACTCTGCCCGAAAATATATATTTATTGTTGTACTGAATTCAATGAAATTCTTGTGATTTTTCATCAATCAGTTGTAAAGATTATTGAGTTTGGATTGATGTCGTTTTATCCTCATCAGTGGCAGTGCGCATCCACCACCCCCACCCCAGGGAACCAAACTCAAAGCCTTCGGCCTTTTGCAAGAACACTTAACTTCTAGACCACTGGGCCGGACGCCATCCAATGGTATTTATGTTTAACTTCAGTCGCACAATCCCACCCATTGTCTTCGGTAGGTAACTGCTTCACACCCTCATGAAGCTCGTCAGTTTAGAGACTGATCAGCTGGATTTACCAGCTTACCCCTAATGGAGCATAGGTTGCTAACCAACATTTTCCAACCTACAATGTCCTTGGTCCTCCTTTCCTGGTTCTATCCAATTGCTGTTCATTCTTTTCATGTCTGCTTCTAATTCTCGACGTAATGCGTTCATGGGTCTTCCACTTTTCCTTTGACGTTGAGGGCTACAAGTCACGGCTTGTCCTATGATTCACTTAGATGCTTTCTTCAATGTGTGTCCTATCCACCTCTAGCGCTTCTTCCTAGTTTCTTCCTTCGCTGAGTGAGACTCAACACAAAACTAGCATTTATAGAATCATTCATAAAAGTAATCTCTCATAATATGCTTCAAGAGCATTACTTTATTTTGACCAATAACAATCGGCTTTCATTTAGAAATGACACACACACACTGAACTGATACATACGCACCTACTATTGACATATACACAGATACAAATCATATTAGTTTGTGTTGACATGTACATGTACAAATATATGAAGCGAAATCGACAATTCCCACCTTGTTTGTCTTTCATCCATTTTCCAATTTGTTTTAAAAGCAAAAGTCATACTACTCTGCTACTATTATACTACTGATTATTATTATTACTATTGTGATAATGATGATTTTAAATTTAATTGAAAGTTAATGTGCACAGAGAGTGCACATTAAAACTATCAAAACTATTCTCATTCAAATGAAAATAGATATGATGTATTTAATTGTGTATGTCTATCCCACACTCATATTAGTTTTTTCTAGCATAAGTACACACAAACACACACAAAACACACATACACATACACACACATACGCAAACACACACGCACATCCCATCAAATTAATGAATTCTGATTTCTATGATTATGACTAATTAATGTTTGTGATTAATATGTCGTTTTTTTTTAATATTATAATGAGTAAGATAGAAGACCAGTCATAATAATAATAATAATAATAATAATAATAAAATACTATTGATAACATTAAATAAAATTATCTGAATTGATTTTTCATCAAAATGGATTAATAGTGTGTGTGTGTGTGTGTGTCTCTATATGTATACTTTGTTATTAGTCTAATGTATTTAGTTTTTTTTTCATTAATTTCTATTTTTATCTCATGACTCATTCTAATGACTTCGCTAAATAGATATTTTTTTCTCTCTCTCACTGTGTCATTTGACAATTAAACACATAAATCATCATCAGTAGAAGTAGAAGGGATAAGTTTTT